GTTCCTGGGAGCATGAGCTCTCCAAGTAACAACAGGACACCTCACTCTGACTGCCTGGTATTGAGCCAGGGCTATCAAAGCGCATTAAACCCGCAGTGTAGATGTACTGCAATGGAACTGGCCCTTCCATGCCTCTCAGAATACTCAGAGAAGGCCCTGAGTCCCCCAAAGTGGTGCCAAACCGCGTTAACCCGCAGTGTGGAAGCACCCTCGTGGAGAACGGGCCTGATGCCCTCGCGGGGACCCACCAGAGCGGGGCGTTGAGGCGGAGGACGAGGCGGGAGAGGGCCCGCCGCCGGTACGGGTCCGAGAGCAGCCCCATGGCCACAGAGAACCCACTTCCGCTCCACACCGGAAGCGACGCCTTTCCGGAAGTCCCGTCTACAGAAACCGGAAGTCGGCTCTATCTCCTCCCGGAGTTTGTTTAGGGAAGTGAGGCCTGCTGGTTCCAAAGCCTCCTCGAAGGGTGGATTGGCACAACCTACCTGAGAGGCCTCTGGGCATGTACAGAGTGGAGAAGGAATGTAGTGTGGCTTCAGCCTGGGTGCCTCAATCAAAGTACTGAGTCCTGGCACTTAAAATGGAGTCAAACTGAGGTAATCCTGGAGTGTAGATGCACCCAAGCCTCCCCTTCCCGCCCCACTTTGCATCATCCCTTCTCGCAAGGAAAACTGACATATGGGGCATCTGCACTGTAGAGTTAATGCGGTTTGGCACCACTCAAAGGCCGCTCCATTTGTATCAAAGGCCTGTTGGGCAGTGCTTCCATTCACATAACCAGAGTTGGAAGGGACCTCTCAAGGCCATCCAGTCCAACTCCATTCTGCATACGGGAAGAGCACAATCAAGGCACTATTGACAGATGGCCATCCAGCTCCAACAGACAAGCGTCCTTTGTCCCACCCTGGTCATTCCACAGATATATATTACCCATTTTCCTACTTCCAACGGACCTCACTATTATTTATTTATTTATTTACTTCATTTGTTGACCGCCGCTCTCAGCCCTGGGGCGACTCGCGGCGGTGCACAACATGTAAAAAACAATCTACAAAACATACAATATATCACAATCAAATTACACATTAATCTAATCACACTAAAAAATCCGCGCCATCACACATAGAATCAATAGCCAATC